TAGACACATCCGTCAGCATTTTGGGGGGAATTCTTTATCAAAAGTTTTTTTTTACTGTATCAAGAGGTGTGGTCTAAGCAATTTAATTGCCTTCCTTTGATGTATTACTTTCATAGTTCCTTGACAATGTGAGTAGTCACGAAAGCGCTTGGAATTTCACTACTCTTTCACAGTGGTTGTTTTGCATATTTTAAAATCGCCTGTTTACTGTGATCTTATTGCATATATATATATATATAAAATAATATATATATATATATATATATATATATATATATATATATATATATATATATATATATATATATATATATATATATATATATATATATATATGCATACATACATATACATACATACATACATAGTGTGTGTATTTTGTTGACTTTAAGGAACTCATTAATGACTAAGTGGTAGTGTAGATTATTCAGGTGTGCGTGTTGACAACCTGGAGTCTACTGGTGTGTATATATGTGTGTCTGTGTGTGTGTGTGTGTGTGTGTGTGTGTGTGTGTGTGTGTGTGTGTGTGTGTGTGTGTGAGTGTGTGTGTGTGTGTGTGTGTGTGTGTGTGTGTGTGTGTGTGTGTGTGTGTGTGTGTGTGTGTGTGTTGTGTGTGTGTGTGTGTCTGTGTGTGTGCGCGCGCGCTCGCGCCTGCGTCCATGTGATTTTTACATGTTCGATAATTTGGTAATTAAGGTCATTCGTCTATAAAACACAGAAATAAGAAGAAAATTGGAATGGCTATACAACCAAAATGATAAAAAAATGGAAACTGAGTAGGAAAATGTTTAGATAAACCAATTTCGCGTAAAGTGACAAATCATAATAGTATTTATATCAGATCAGTAAAGAACAAACATTGACCTGTAAATATACAATATTGTTTATTATTCCATCTCTCATTCTTTCTCTCATTTATCCACTAGAACCATCAGTACTTACGTAAGATCAGGGCTGGGGTTGCCACCGCTGCAGGTGCACCGTACAATCACCTTGTCACCTGCTTTCGCCTGTCCCTCACTCTCAATCGTCACCTCAGGTATGCCTGGTCGCTCTGTTGACAATGAAAAAAAGATATATGTGTGTATTTCTATAATATACTTTTTTTTTAAATCCACCTACCTCTGTTTCTCGATTTATTTGTCTTACCTCTCTCCCTTTTCCTATGTATTTATTTTTTTATCTCTCTCTCTCTCTCTCTCTCTCTCTCTCTCTCTCTCTCTTCTCTCTCTCTCTCATACCTGGAGTTTACCTGCAGAGGGTTTCTGGGGTCTGAGACCAGGCCTCATGGTGGATTAGGGTCTGATCAACCAGGCTGGTACTGCTGGCCGCACGCAAGCTGACGTACGAACAACAGCCCGGTTGGTCAGGTACTGACTTTAGGTACCTGTCCAGTGCCTTCTTGAAGATAGCCAGGGGTCAATTGGTAATCCCCCTTATGTATGCTGGGAGGCAACTGAACAGTCATGGGCCCCGGACACTTACTGTGCTGTCTCTCAGTGTACTCGTGGCGCCCCTGCTTTTCATCATTTTGCTTCTTCTTTATCCCAACCAAACACAAACATATTTTTGTTTAGTGGCAAGATCTACTGACATACATGGTAGAAAGACACGTAGTAGAGCATAGGGCAAAACGTCATTTTTCATAACCACAAACATGTTTATCAAGACATAACCACCTCCCACCTGAATTCGCATTGTTTTGAATCCAAGTCAATTCAAGCTCAGTCGACTGACAATAGATTCGGGATAAAAAAAAAAACGAATCGGGTCATTGAACCATTTTCCATTTGTTCTGGTAATACAATATTACTGCCTCTCCCAGAAATATAATTGAAAATAATACATATACATAATGAATATCGTATATTCGAGAGGAATATGCATTATGTATATAATTTCTCTCTTTTGATGTGTTTTTTTTTTTCAGAATGTAAATGGTCTCTACGAGTGCTATTATTTAACATTGCCTACGCACATATACCCACATGCGTACATGAATATCTGTCCAAGCACATATGTGTTCATTAATATTTACCCACACGCACACATACGTTCACACATTCACACGCCCACAAATTTATTTACAACAAAAATTATGTTTCTTACTTTAAACTAAACCAGTTCTCTTTCGGAATGTAACCCATTTCTCACCCTTTGAATGTAATACATTACCTTTAATGTGTGATTCATTATCATCGCCGAATGCAATCCATTATTACCCATTACCTTCCCAGGAATGTAACATTACCTTCCCTAAATGTAACCCATTACCTTCCCTGAATGTAACACTTTCTCTTAAAATAATGCATTTCCCACCATCTGAATGCAATATTTTTCCTCAGAAAATATCCCATTCAGTACCCTGAGTGAAACCCATTCTTAATTACCTTAATTATTTTAATGATTTCAATTATCTCAAGTACAATAATTGCCACCTCAATAATAGCTCGATTCCTTTACAACAAACTCCTGATTCAGTAACGAGGTTTAGATTTTAATTAGTAATTAATATTTTTTACTGATTTTTATATTTATTTTTATTAATCTTATTTAACTTGGATTATTTTGATTATGAGTACAGAATGTAGTCAAAATATAATTGTATTTATTTGCAGTCTATCATTGTAAAGTATTATTGCTAATTTCCAAATTAATAACGCTAACTTAACGAGCTATAAAACTAACTTCCAAATTATTTATGCTAGCCTTCAAATTCATAGTTATTAATGATAGTAATAATGTTCCTGTAACCCGTAGGGGCCATACATCGCCTGGGGACCTGTGAAGAGATCACGTTATACCAGAAAGAAGCAGCTTCCATTCCTGCTGTCAAGAACCCGTCACTAGAACCAAGGCAGTTCCACTGACCATATTTTCTTTTGGTCAATGAACACGAAATATGAATATACTGTTTTGAAATACAACATTAATGAAGGTTTTAAAAATTATACGAATCTGTTTTCCTGGTCGGTGACCTGCTTCCATATGTGACTTTTTTTCATATGTGACATGGTTCTATATGTGACTTTTTTCATATGTGACCTGTTTCTATATGTGACTTCTTTTCATATGTGACCTGGTTCCATGTGCTATGGGAAATATATCATGTATCTGTTGCAGAACGGGGATTACCCATTACAATGCCAAAGATTATCGTAAAAACTGAGCCCGTGTCTAAAGTTTTCTCTTATTTAAAGTCGGTAAGGGGTATCACGTAAGAGGATCGAGCCTCGAGTAGTCTATGAATTATATGAACCAGGAGTGTTTAGAGCTTCACGTCAAGCATTGTGTATAAGATACAAAAGGTTAAGAGAGAACGTCCTGTTGATGTTTCGCTAAATTCTGAGCTCAGAGCAAGTAAGTTCCCTGGGAAAATCTCCTCAAATCATGGACATTAATATTAGTCAATGAGATGAGAGGAAGAAACTATGTCTGCTAATTAAGATGTTACCTTATTAAGCTAATTTGGTGTGTGTGTTTGTGTGTGAGATTTTACTCATTACAGGAATGGCAGCTGCAGATATATATCTGGGACAATTATTGAGTCAGGTTTGATTTGTCACTGAAAAAGTAATTTATTTTGACACTGCAGCTCAAGACAGTTTGAGATAAGTCTATTGAGATTTGGGTATTAATTACGCCATCCTTTAAAATTTCATTCAACTTGTTGGCTGGTGTACTGTAGTTACAGCCTGTCGACTACGCAAGGGTCAATAAAGCTGCGTGTGATTTGAGCACTATCAGGGGCTTAAAGTTAATTCTCAGCGGGTATACACACAGATAAGGTTAATCTATAAAATAAGGGTTAAAGTTCACACTCAGTGTGTATACACTGAGAGATACACAATTCTCAGCGTGTATCACTCAGTGGCTCAACTTGTCAGTGTTACGTACATTTCACATGAGTCTCAGCGTTCACCCAGCTACCAGAGATTTTCTTTGTTTAAAGTGAATGACAATCAGCACTTGTAAAAGGAGTGGATACAAGGGCGTAGTGTTGACATTAACTCAGGAAAAAGGAGTGGATACAAAGGCTTAGTGTTGACATTAATGCAGAAAAGACAGGTGCAGAAAGAGGTGTAGAGTTTATCAAGCCAAAGACAACATCATTCTTTCACTTAATAGAGCACCACACAGGGCGAAACGTTGTCAGAATGAAAGCTTGTTTTGCAGTTGTGTCTTTTCCCGTGAAAGGAATATCACCGTTAAATATATTACTCGAAAAATATCCCGTCTACCATTTCCATCAAAAGCCTCCGCATAAATCCCAACATCTCAGCATGAGAAATCCCTTTGGAGATTTTTCGGAATGCTTCAGTTCCACATAAAAAGAAGCCGGGGGAGTTAATTCTTCGACTACACAATATATAAGTAAGTATTACTTAGTGGGGAAATAATGCCGGGAGGGAGTGTTGCTGAAATGCCCGAATGTCAGAGGTACCTGTTGATCCACGCCGCACTCTACGCATATTACGGCTATCATCTTTAAGGCTCGCGCAGGTTGAACATGCGGCACGCGGCTGTCTGCGCCTGCTTGCTTGCTTGCTCTCTCTCTCTCTCTCTCTCTCTCTCTCTCTCTTTTTCCCCCCTTCCCTCGCCTGCCTGTTTCATTTGCTCTCTGTCCCTCCCCTCCCTACCTTCCTCCCTCTCTTCCTCTCTCTCTCTCTCTCTCTCTCTCTCTCTCCTCTCTCTCTCTCTCTCTCTCTCTCTCCTCTCTACTCTTCTCTCTCCCTCTACTCCTACTCTCCTATTTCCCTCCGTCTCTCCTTACTCTCTTTCTCTCTCCACCGACCTTTTAATCCCTAACATACCTCTCTTCATCATCTCCTCTTCCTCCTCCTCCTCCTTTTCCCCCCTCCTTTTCCTCCTCCTCTTCCTCTTCCTCCTGGGAAACACGAACCTCGTTTATTTCTCTTCTCTCAGTTCTTCATGTTACAGTCGTGAATATTCCCCCTTGTGACCTCTTCCTACTTGCTACCTACTGCAGCCTCAACTCTACTTCCTGAGTCCTACCATCAAATAACTTTCGCTCCTCCTCTCATCTCTCTCTCCTTCCTTTCTTTTCTTGCTTTTCTGCTCTCCTTGAACTCTTGATACACTCTTTTTCACTTCCTTATCTTGCTGCCTTCTCTCCCTTCCATTCCACTTCATTTCCCCCTTTTGCCTCTTGCGTCGATCCTTTCCACCCTCTCTCTCTATCTTCCTTCACTCACTTACCTAGAATGTTGATAACATGGATCCTGCTGACACCCTTTACAGAGGCTGAGTTATCTGCTCTGCATTCCACGCGTGTTTCTTTTTCGTCCTTAGTCTTCGTCAGCTTCCTCGTCAGCCTTGAGGCAGTCACCCAGCCTCCTTCCTTATCCTCCGTTACCATAGATGTGGCCGAGCTGATGGACTTGCCTGAGAGAGAGAAAAAAGTAGGAATTACAAAAAATAAGTCATAATACTATGTATGGAGCAGTTCACAATTCCATACAGTTTACTGCTCCATACATGCAACCGTTCCACAGCCTGAAGTTAGAGAGCCAGTTAAAAACTACTTTCTTTTACACAGGGTTTGACAAGGTTAGGTTAAGGATCCCTAACTTTATTGACAAACTATTTACAGGTTAAGGATGCCTAACTTTGTTAACAAGCTAAGAGCTGTTACCTACATCAGCTCATTTGAAAGCATTACGATTAGTCTGCCCGAAATGGAAATGAATGTTAGTGACTTTCTCTTGTGCTTAACAATGTTTTTGTTCACGTAAATTACATTTTCATACAGACAGCTAATTTCACAAGATGATTAATTAGACATGAGATTTTTATCTTGAAAAAAATGCTACTTTCAAAGATAACTTTCTTGGATGACTGTATTTCATTGATATCATTATGCTGTACGAGTCATTCTAGGAGTGAATGTTCTCGGATGTCGCGATGCTCTTGAGAATGGAACAGCCAGAATATAGTTGCTGTTTGCTGCCCGTCTTGTTGTGTAAAAATTGCCTGCCTCTCTCTCTCTCTCTCTCTCTCTCTTCCTCCTAATATCACTGGTTCACCTTGCCCTCTCCTTGACCGTAATTAAATCTTGCTCGCTTAATTATCAGAGTTGCTGTTACATGATCGGCGCTTTCTTTTTCATCTTCAATAATGACTCAATTGTTGGCAATTTTCCTCACTTTGCGAATATGCAACTAATATCTGAAATTGTAGGCACTTTCCTTAATCTCGGAATTCTCCTTGTTTACTGCTTTTATCTATACATTTTCACTCATTTATTCATGTTTGTTATTCTTATACTCATGTCTTTTCTAAACTCTCCCTAACGTCCTTTATTTTACCTCCCTCTGTCCCCTCTAGCTTCTTCAGTCTTTCGCCTCCCTTAATTTCTCCCTCTACCACCTTTTCCCCTTTCTTCTCTCTCTCTCTCTCTCTCTCTCTCTCTCTCTCTCTCTCTCTCTTCTCTCTAGCTAGAGTGAATCTAGCTATCTAGCTAGAGTCTGGACTCCATACTCATTTCTGCAACACTGCAAGCTTCTGAAGATGTGTTGATTGCAATACGAAAGGCTGTCATTCAACTTCCCTCCTGTGGTTGTTTTGCATCTTGCATCGCTTGTTTACGAATATTGTATAATGGTTTGTAGTGACGAAGCAAAGACACGCGATGCGGTACAGACTGTTTCGAGGAAACACCCTTTCACTCTTTGTAGAGCTTTATTGCATAGCGAAACGTTGTCCAAACAAAAGCTTATTCTGCTATTATGCCCTAATTTCACTATCTTTGAAAGTATGTTATTTATATTTGATTTAAAAAAAATTCTGTGATAACAGGTACGGTGTCATTCTCCATAACACTAAAATGTATTGACAACATTATCAGTCTTTACTCTATAGCCACGAAGCCCTTTTGACTTTTCTAGTAAGAATAAAGTACGCACTAAAATCATACAAATAAAATTTCAAGTTACGTGCCCAGTAAGGTGTAAGCAATATTTGACACATGTTTATGTGAAGCTAAAACCTGAGGCAGGTTAAGTAAATGTGTGTCTTTCCTCTTTCAGGTCAGAGTGGCAGATGTTTAGATTCTCTTCCCGCACCAGATATGATGTTCAAGATATCTAAAATATATTAAAAATGTTTTGCTTTCGCTGAAATGAAATCGGAGCCTGAGCCGAGGGGAAGCCCAAGCAAAGCCTGAAAGACTTTTCTTATATGGCCAAGATATTCAGGAAATCACGAGGAATGAAGACAGAGAAGATAGTAAGAGAGGCAGAACGCCAGACGAACAAAGGGTGAAGAAGCTGAAGAGAGTAAGGGATGAATAAAGTGAAGAGAGGGAGAAATGAACAGTGTGAAAAAAACGAGGGATGAAGAGAGCGGAGAGAATGAGAGATTAAGGGAAAATAAAAATTTCCTTGCCCCAAACGATCAAGAAATGTGATAAAATAACGCCAGAGGTGTTGGAATACCTCAGTAAATCTCTGAAGGCACCATTAAAATTATTGTAATGCGCTCTAGGTATTGTTTACGGCAGGACTCAACGTGGATCATTCATGACTAACCAAGTTTCGCTGCTACACTCAAGATAGTAGCGTACCTGTTTCTCGATTAGAAGCCGGAAAATCGAGCGTCCGCGACTTCTTTCGCTGAAAGTCCAAAACGAGTTTAATGATTTACGTATTGTAATTCAGCGCGAAGACTGGTCAAGATTCCAACTACAGCCTAACATTCTCTATAATAAATTTTTTTCTTGGAAATCTGTTTTCCTGAGAAGAGATAGTTCTATTATTGTCGGATATTTTTGAGTAAAGACCTTTGTTTTACAATTCTGAACATAATTCCTCCACTTTGTAATTCTTGCACTTGACATTTCACGATTGCTACCTTTTATATTTCCTTCCCTTTAAAATTCCTACACTTCAAAAATCACAATTCCTGCAATTCATGCGTTTTTATAATTTGAGGGCGAGGGTGTAATATTTTATATTGTGTTCCCTTCAATTGCCCTAAGTCAAAGACCTAAGAGAAGTGAATAGCATATTTATATGTTATATTTTTTTTTCAATCATACTCTGTTTGGATTTTCATTAGCTAAGTCCTGTATATCGTTTGTATTAATTGTATGACCCCTACAAATTTTGCAGTTGTATGCTAATATAATGGTTGTAATAATCTTGTGCATTATGGGATATGTATAGTTATATAATGTATAAAATTGGCTGCTGATAAAGCGCCTTGTGAGATATTCATTGGAAATGACTAAATATACTCGTAAAATTAAAATAATTGCAATGGATGAGATTATTCTTGTTCGAAAGACAGATGTGCATGAAAGGAAATGAAGGGTAAAGTCTGGTCATGGACCGAGCCGCGGGGGAGTTTGACCCCTGGAAGACCTTCCAGGCAGGTAGGATGATGCATCTAAAGCACCGTCCCGCGAAGACCAGTGCTCGCTCCGTGGGAGTGTCACACACACACACACACACACACACACACACACACACACACACACACACACACACTGCTCACCTTGGACGATCCAGGTGATAGTAGCAGGTGGGTTGGCAGGTGCTGTTACACAGGTAAGAGTGTATTCCTCTCCTACAGCAATAGCTGGTGGCCCACTCACGTTCAGACGAGCTGGTGGATCTGTAAACACAAGAATTTCAACTGTGAGAGTTGATACCTTTAACTGATTAATAATAATAATAATAATATAATAATAATAATAATAATAATAATAATAATAATAATAATAATAATAAAGAGGAAGAAAATTTAGGTAAAAATAAATGAATAGAGAACTCTATATTCAAATTAATATGCCACTGAATAATTTAAATAAATTTTAGAAAATAAAATATATACTGAAATCCCTTAATAGCACAACAAAAGGTTAAAAAATATGGTAGATATAAAACCACGAGCGTAGGCGGATGTAAGTTAAAAAAAATGAAAGAGAGAAATAGCGACTGAAAATGGGAAACACTTTAAAATTGAAAAAAAGTAATTTAGTATGTAGAATATTGTTTATATAGAGAAATTTTTTTTGAAAGAACAACGAGGGTGTGAGAAAAATAGATTAAGGAAGTTAAAGTTTTTGATGCAGGAGATTTGAAGCACCCTCGCCTCGGATCAAACCTGACTCCCTTCCATTACCAAAAGCAATGTATGACCCTTACGATCTTAGCGCTTCTTTGTGAATATGATGACCATATTACTACTACTAACACCACCACTGCTTCTACTATCGGTAATAATAATAATAATAATAATAATAATAATAATAATAATAATAATAATAATAATAATAATAATAATAAATGATCTCTCTTACTACATAATAATTTCTGAAACAATAATGAAAGTAAGAAAACAGAGAATTTACCAATAATTTTTAATACAATCTGAAGTACGTACACACAACAGTGTCAACATTTTCAGTGCTCATTAATTTTTTGAGCCAGGGAGTCGAAACTACAAAATATTTAAAGTAAAACTCTCAACCAAAAAACACGCGGGGGAGTGAAACTATGTGTTGCTCTGACTCTTCCAGTTGATGTTTCCCAAGTGCACTGATGGTCAAGTTCAATTGTATTCACGTTTTTTTGGGGGGCTGCATATCCGGGTTGTATTTTTGAATTGTTTGTATTTTTATTTGTTTAATTTGGTTATGTTATTGTTATTTTTTCCCTATTATTATTTTTTAAAAATTATAATAATAGTATTAGTATTGTATTGTTAATATTGTATTATTATTGTAGTAATATTGTATAAATTTTGTATTAATATTGTATTAATATTGTATTAGTATTGTATTAATATTGTATTGTCTTTATTGTATTAATATTGTATTAGTATTGTTATCAGCATCTTCATTATTATTTTTATTATCATTAATATTTTTTATTTTTATATTTTTCTTAACATCATTACGCTTTATATTATTTATTATCATCATTTGAGCAATATTATTAATTTAAATACCAATGTAATTGAACAAAATATTATTGTATAATTAAACTACGTTGTAGACCTTCCTTTTCTTCAATAGGAGGCGTCTCAGTCTTCTGAAATGTCTAAAACAGTTTGTAACTGTGTATCCTTATTTCAAATTATGTCCCAGTCAATAAACTAACATCAAGAATAAGAACATAAGAATGTAGGAACACTGCAGAAGGCCTACTGGCCCATACGAGGCAGGTCCTTATCAAAACGATCTCTACCTAAAGCTACCCAAGAAATAACTCCCGTACCCCATGACACCAATCAAACCCAGCCCTTCCCACTCATATATTTGTCCAGTCTCTTCTTAAAGCTACCCAAGGTCCTAGCCTCTATCACCCCACTGGGAAGACTGTTCCACGCATCTACAACTCTGTTAGAAAACCAGTACTTACCTATGTCCTTTCTAAATCTAAATTTATCCAACTTATATCCATTATTTCTGGTTCTTACCTGGTTCGACACCCTCAGTACTTTATTAATATCTCCCTTGTTTATGCCTAAAGTACTGAGGGTGTCGAACCAGGTAAGAAGAGAGAGACAGAGAGAGAGAAAGATACTTACAGTGTACGGTGAGAGTAATATTAGTGGTGTAAGGTCGGACGAGAAGATCGCTAGAAACCCGGCATTCATACACGGCTCCATCTTCCTCCCGGGATGCTGTCACTTGCTGACTAACGAAGACGCCTCCCGATGCTCGCATCTGCCTGGCAGGGTAGGCGCTGGTGACGGTGTTGTTGCTGTTTATTCTGTTGTTAGCATTGCTGGTGAGGGGCCGCCCATGGCGATACCAGATCACCCAGGGGCTGGGGTTACCTCCTAGGACGTGGCAGACTATGATGCGACTCTCGCCAGCTCGCATCACTTCGCCAGTGCGGTACTCGCTGATCACGGGCCGTCCGGGTGGATCTATCGAAGAACGAGAATGTGGAATGAGATGTGAGAGAAGCTTTCCCTCAGGAGTTAAAGAAATAATTACACGTTTTTATGAAGAAAAAATTTCAGATCTGGGATGAAAGGACTTTTAGGTCTGTGAAAATATAGCTTCAAATGAGGGAAGGAAAGAATTCCAGTTTTGAAAAGGAATAAGTAATCACGTGATGTCATTAAGACTCTGAAGGCTGCTTCGGGCAGTCAGAAATAGGACCAATATTTATGGTAATTTTCCACCTGGCTGCTAAATCTCAGTCTAGAAAACTAAATTAATAATACAACATTGTTATAACCAAAATGTGAATAAGAATTGTAATTATTACTGTGTTTAAAAAAAAAAGTCGCTAAGTCCATACGAGTCGTAAAGATATGAATATAAAAAACACATCTCGTACATCAATACATAAAAAAAATGTCATGGAACAATCATATGATTCGAGGAAACACTACAAAAAAAATTCATAACATGAAGGCGGTCACTCAAAATTTCTGAAGTTGCAAAGCGGATGATGACAAAATTTCGTTAAATTTCTGTGTCTGGGAAATTCAAAAAGGCACATTTTCTGTGCCGTGTTCCGTGACGTGTTGTCAAGGAATGACCTTCCTGTTACGCCAATTAAATTTTTCTTCAAAAGTCTCACTTATTGGAAAGTTAGTGGTAACTCGATATATATTTTTCTTTTTACTTCACTGAAGGAAGCGAACCTTGGAGGAGAAAATTACCAAGTTTGGAGCTCATTAACCTCTTCAGTTATAGGTTTTTAAGAAGCACTATGTACGTTAATTCTCGCATTCAGAGTAATGAGACAGTGGTCGCTGAATTATAACAGAAAACTACACCAGAAAGGTTACACTAAGGCATGTATGTGAGTTTACTATAACAAGAAATATTTCTCAGGTATATATGTGACTTATCACATATGTAACTCAGGCATTTGTGACACTACATATGTAACTCAGCTAATGTTACTAAAACATAACACTAATATATTTTTAATTACACATACATACACACACACACAAATCATATAATATACATATATATATATATATATATATATATATATATATATATATATATATATATATATATATATATATATATATATATATATATATATATATATATATATATATATATATATATATATCTTGCCGAATATGTAAAACTGGTCAATTAGTAAGAACTCATTTAAAATTAAGTCCTTTCTAAAATTTTCTCTTATACGTTTAAAGATATATTTTTTTCATTAATATTGATGTCAAAATTTATAATATTGCACCAAAAGGAACTTAGAAAACTTACCTAACCTTATTATAACTAGAACAATTTATTTTAGCCTAACCCAACTAAATATATTTTAGATTTGTTTACAGTAATTTAATACTAAATAAACACAGTGAAATATATTTTTTTCGTTAGGTTCAGAATGATTTTGGCGAAATTATTGCATACACAAATTTTCACTTGTCCTATATGGCAAGATGAGCGTTGCTATTTAAGCCAAGATCGCAAGTTCTGCCTATTCGGCACGACATATATATATATATATATATATATATATATATATATATATATATATATATATATATATATATATATATATATAATATATATATATATAATAACACACTAAGATATACGTTTTGCCACACGTGGACATGTGCTTAATAATTTTGAAATATTTTGGTAAGAGAAGGTTTGAAGGCATTGACAAAAAATCACTCTCACAATTCATAGTCTTTTAAAAAAATTATTGGCAAACTTTTACCAGTTGGCCGAAAGACTATAAGCAAATTATACAGTTTATGACATTATTGCGACCCAAGCGTGTGTACATTGCTAAGCAATTTTTTTAGACCTTTTATGGTATATTGAGCGAAAATTACGCTTCATTCCTTTTATACAGATATTACCAGTTTGGAATTCTGCTCGTGGGTTGGTTAATTGGCTTATTAGGTTTAAAGCCTATCGACTACACTAGAGTTGTTAAGGCTGCATTTAACCTGTACAACACCAGTCAACATCACTTAGAACATTTGATCCTAAGCTGTCACACTGTCGTATACTAAGAAAATCAAAGAACCTAATTTCTTTACAATAAGAAGATATACTTATTCAAATCATTCTAAATTATCCACACGCAAAATTATTTTCTGTTTATGTTGTCAAATTTCTGAGATTGGAAGAAGAAAGCACAGCAAAACAGCAGCATTCTCAAACACTGAAAACTAGAAAGTGCTTCAGTGGTTTGAGTTTTGAATGGGTCACTCCAACGCCCCCTCGTCAGGAAGTAGTGATTAAGGGGATGTTCTGCTCACGTGTTTTTTTTTTTTTCAAACCAATAACTGGTCATCAGCGAGCTATATTGTCTAATCTTAAACGCATTTGTTTTCTGATCGCGCGTAAGTGGTTTTAAGAATGAAAGCTCAAGAATGTTATAGGTCACTTTCATACGGAATGATAAATATGGTAAATACAGTCTTGCTCTTTTGTATTTGTAGTACCCAGTATGTCATTATTTCCCTTTCCAAATTTTTTAAAGAAAATTAATCCCCTTTCCTTAAATTTTTGTATATTACGTAATACACAAAAGTCACTGGACATTCTGATGAGTGTAAATAAGCAGGGAGTCTATATTAATTCAGATAATAAATTTTCCTAAACTCTTAGTGAACAGATGTAATACAGCCTTAATAATTTTCCTGTATTTAATAAGCTGTAACTAAACAAATCAACAAGAGGGAAAAGTGAAAATCGCTTCGTAATATATAGTAAACATATTGAATATCTCTGTGTTATGGCTGAACCGGTGTGACAGTTTAGAAGTGGACGACTACTAACAAACGAGAGAATGTTGGGATTACATCACATCCCGTGTGTCTCAACCCGTGTTCTACCATGCTCCTGAACACGCTCCTGAACACACGGAAGCAAGTGATGAGGGCTTTAGCACACCACAGTGTTGAATGCAGCTCACCCATGGTGAGAGACAATTGAATCTTTCCACGCGAGTTGCTGCCTATTGTTGTGTGGGGTGAGAGGGAGGGAGGGAGGGATGAAGGAAGGAGAGAAATAGAAACAGACAGATAGATAGATAGATAGATAGATACATAGATACATAGATAGATACATAGAGAGAGAGAGAGAGAGAGAGAGAGAGAGAGAGAGAGAGAGAGAGAGAGAGAGAGAGAGAGAGAGAGAGAGAGAGAGAGAGAGAGAATGAGTGAGAGAGAGAAACCCTATAATATGTAGTTCAGTTGGTAGCGCACTCAGTTCACACGTTGAGTTTCCGTAGTTCGATCTCCGGTACGGGTGGAAACACTGGGTGTGTTTCCTTAAGACACCTGCTGTCCCTATTCACCTAGCATTAAGTAGGTACCTGAGTGTTAGCCGATTGGTGTGGGTCGAATCCTGAGAACAAAATTAACCTAAGTTACCCGAAATGCTTTGCATAACTAGGGGGGCCTTTCTATATAGCATATCATCTATGTCAGTCAGATCTTTATAAGTTGTTTCATGTACTTGTAAAAATAAAGTTTATTATTATTATTATTATTATTATTATTATTATTATTATTATTATTATTATTATTATTATTATTATTAAGTACCTCGGTAAATAATAGCGTGATCTTGTGACTATTCACATTTTAAATAAAACTAAGAGGAAAGAGCTAAGTTATTATACGCAGAAATGCAAAAAAAAATGAGGCTCCTACTAGAGAGGATTAATTGGCGTTCCTCATTCCAATTACGGGTAGATTAGACCAACCACCAACTAACAGAACTGACCTAGAAGACTTGACCTGGCGGCTGACCTGATTTAGCAGACCTGATCTAATAGAGATGATTTTGCAGGGACATCCTAGCGAACATATCATTGCTGACATGACCTCTCGGGTTTGGGCTGTGTAGCGACAAATCTGACATGACAGTTTACGAACATAGTTAATAAACATGAAATTGTTGCATTCTGAACTATAATTATTTAACTTTAAACTTTGAGTGTTGATGTGTTTATTTTTTTAACCCCGAATGAAGCTTCACGTTGTTTGTGGGTTATGTATTTTTTTTTTAATTCGCCAATTTTTATAAACAAATTGTTTCCTTGTTATATCTGGAGAATGATTCTTCTGATCGGCTTCAAACCTTAAATGCTGCTGTATCTTTATACGAGACGTTTTGAACTGATTTTGGGTTGTGTGTCAATTTATAAATTTTATTAAACTTATTGGGAAAATTTAAATAATGAATGTCATACGATAATCTGTGAATGACTTGAACAATCGGCTTCAAACCTTTAACACCAGTAACTTGAAAATTCACATTTTGGGCCTCTTCAGACTTCGAATTCTGGTGTATGTTTTGAGATTCTGATCTCTGTGCAATAACTAGACAATATTTTTCCCGGTTGGGTCTAAACTTGCTAAGTTGTTGTATCTTAATAGAGAATTAAAACAGGTTGTGGGTCGTCGTAGTCGCCAATCTGACACTTTCATTAAGGAAACTGATATATAGGTATTAATGTAAAAACATGAAGGGGTCTTTTTATTTAGCTACCTTAATAACTTTTGCTGCACCCTGTACCATTCCTTTTGAGTGAACTGAGGTAGAGGAGGCTGAGCTTATGGGTTAAGAGGATATCTTTCTCGAATCGCGCACAGACCAAAACTACAAATGTGTCGGGAGCTCGCTGTACCATACTACTCTAGTAACTGGAGAGCATAAAATTAGCCTTCTAGTACACAAGACATGCAGAACTCATCATAGTACTCTCCTTCAAATGCTGCAGTACAGTATAAGGCAGCCAGTCACACGAATTCCCCGTGCGTATATTTTCAATGCAGTGAGTTCGTTAAGTTTGTCGGTTTGAAATTCGGGACAGCTGCAATGTCAGTTGGTTTGATAAATTTTCTTTCGTATTCAGGGCTTGCTTCTTGGCTGAAGAATGCCCTTTTCAAATCAATGTTATCAGCTGAAGAAATAAATATTCAGTTTGGCATTCTGAATTTTTAATAAATGATAGTGGCTATCACTCTCTCTCTCTCTCTCTCTCTCTCTCTCTCTCTCTCTCTCTCTCTCTCTCTCTCTCTCTCTCTCTCTCTCTCTCTCTCTCTCTCTCTCTCCTCTCTCCCTCTCTCTCTCTCACACACACACACACACGCACACACACACACACGAACACACACACACACATCAGCTTAAATCTGTCTATTGAAAGTAAAAACGTCATGCTTTTGTAGTGCAAAATACTCATGAGACGGAAAAGTAAGCAATTTAATCTGCTCATACAGCTGTTACATTATATCAAGCAAGATCGTCTCTCTAGGTACTTACGGAACACAGCGAGACTGACAGACGCCATGAGACTGGATGGGGCGTATGCCAGAGCTTTGTGGAGTGCCCGGCAGGAGTACTTGCGACCGTCGTCACCAGAACCTGGCTTCATTTCCAGCTGGCTCCTCACGTTCCACATCCTTGGCATCTGAGCTGGTTCAATGACCTCCTTATGCAGAGCTACAAAACGAAGGAAGAAGGGGGTAAACCAGAGATCATAGAGGATGTACTCATATACACTTATATATCACTTATGTACTCATATACACTTATATCTATCATAGATAGATACATACATACATACATATATAGACATATAGGCACAGAGAGAGGGAGGGAGAGAGAGAGAGAGAGAGAGAGAGAGAGAGAGAGAGAGAGAGAGAGAGAGAGAGAGAGAGAGAGAGAGAGAGAGAGAGAGAGAGAGAGAGAGAGAGAGAGAGAGAGAGAGAGGGAGACATACAAACAAAGAAAATAACAAGTAGATAGAGAGATCTATAGCATTAGAAATGGACTAGGCACTTACTTGGGTCAATCCTAATATTGTCACGGTACCAGACGACGGCTGGGGCTGGCCTGGCATCGATCACAAGGCACTCCAGCTTGAGTCTAGTGCCCTCCATCACCTCCACAACCGCCCCGTCACCCCAACCCACCATCACGATGCTCATGGGTGGCACTGCAGAAAGAGGAAAAAATATACAATCTTAGTAGTTGAAGAAGCGAGAAAAAAAAAGAAGCAGGTGTCTGTATAGGGAACATTCGGTGGCATCGTTAAGGCATTATGCATCACTAAGTCCATCACTGCTATTTCTCTAGTGGCATTATTCGTTCCAGTCATATATCACATTCCTGATGTAATATATTTAAACAACTATTGATTTCAAATTGGCTGCAATCCACCTCTACACTATCAGGAATACTTTAGTCTCTAAAATATGGATTAAAGTCATCTCCTTTAGTTTGTAAATTATACAACAAACATGTACACTTCTCTGTGTATTGACTCGAGACATTGTATTTCCCTTATCGTAATTCCTCATTACACTACTTACCCATCACAGTGACGTTAGCACCAGCCCAGATGGCTTCGTTAGTAGCAGTTGGCCCCACCTGGCACTGATATTCCCCGTCGTCTTCAAGTGTGGCACCGCGAATGACTAGGTGATGTTCGCCTAGTGTGTCGTCGCCGACATACTGGTAACGAGGGTATCCTGGTACCGTCCGTTCGAATCCTGCAGTGAAGAAGGAAAGGAAAGTTAATAGATTTTTCATACTAAAACATACAAAATACCTCAAGGTCTGGTTCCCACTCTGCACACACTGCTATAAAAAATTGAAGTGAAGGATATAAAAGAAAGTGTAAAGTAAACCCAGTGAAAAGTCAGGTCACCACTGGCACAGTTAGAGAAAACTGTCAGCAGTAGAGGTCCAAGAATTTTTACCTAGTAGATATCAGAAATATTGCCAAAAATATGTCAGAAGTTTTCAAGAGAACGGTGGCTTGATACCTCCTGCAAGTATTTGATCTGCTTGGCTGTCATGGCTATGTATGATTTTCAGCTGCTTGAACTAACGGCTTGGATGACCAGAGAGTCAAACCAGTCACAGGTATGCAAACAGAACATAGTCTTGGCAGACTCATGCTGTTATTAAAGTGGTTTTCACTTGTATTGGTGTTTATCTTTATCTCAGAAACAACTAGTTGGACCAAATAGCATTTGCCCCTTATGTTGCAAAAGCAATATGCCCAGAGGCTCTTATCTCCTCTAGCAACGTATATATAAGAAAATGTATACCTGGGAGAACCTTTCCCAGATCCAGCGTATATCTCAGGTGTGCCTCAGCAACAACGATAAGACGACAGAATATTAAAGTAAAATGCCAGAAACTCCGAATTCTTGCTGCTTAACATGGCGAGCGAGATATCCAGGAATAATGAAATTCCTTCCCCTGGGCTGCTACACTAAAATCCCTGACGGAATGCTCATAGGTGCGTTCCAAGTGGGCAGTGAAGAGGCTGTGTCCCGACTCTTTGTTAAATGCATGGTGATAGTGGAAGAATTTTGGCACAGAGAGTGGTCTAATTTTATCTATGCAAGTTCTCCCAAGCTTTGAGCTGAATACGAGCATGCATGTATATATATATATATATATATATATATATATATATATATATATATATATATTATATATATATATATATATATATATATATATATATATATATATATATATATTACTGACCACATTGAATGTATATATTACTTCATCACATTGAAACTAATGAACTTTAAAAGACATTACCTCTCACTTTATAGCATAAGAAATATCTGATCCACCGTTCATTGTTTTACTAAAAGATGTACATATGTATGGTAATTCTCCTATGACTCTGTACACTATGGTTCATGATTTGTCATGAAATAAAATAGATTTTACGAACTATATCAAAACCCAATGCATATTGTTTGGTGTATGAAAATTCCTTTTCATCACATCACTCGAATCTACCCACACAATCGAGTCTTTAAATCCTTGAAAAGACGCTAGTGCTTTCTGAAGGAAGGGGAAAGGAAGAAGGATCTTGGAGAGAGAATCAGAGAATGATGGCGGGGTTCATTTGCATAACTTAGAAAGCGGTGAAGAATCTTAGGGACTGGTCTGAGCTACACAAAAACAAGTTTTCCAGGTCTTCACCCTCGTGCAAACTATGTGAGAGAAAATAGTTGAAATATTTGGTTCTGCTTCCTGGGTTAGGGATTTAACCGAACATGTATGTGGAATGTGCAGTAGGTTTGGACAGTGAGACTTTATATGATGAAAAGAGGAGAGAGAGAGAGTTAAGGACTGAAAACGATATACGAAATTATTGTAATTTAAATTTTGAAGGAACAGACTGAGAGGCGGGGGTCTAGTTCCAGGGTGATATATATACAGATCTAGATAGATGCGACGATGGTTGAGAAAGATTCCGTACAGAGCGTCACGAACAGGTGAGAGAGGGTCACTAATTCAAGAAGCAAGGAACTGTCTGTTAAGTTAAACAAAGTGCCTGACACATGAGCAATTTCGCTTCTGTAACAGAAGACACATAAAACGACAAGTACCTAGAGAAAAACGATGAAAATTTTTTTGGATATATTTCTTTAGGAACAGACTGGTAGGGCACTGATATGGACTCGGCATTCTTCCAACAATGAATAACTAGAATAATATATACATATATAAGAAATTAAACACTGAAAACACAGGATATGTTATAAATGAATTATAGGATGAAAAGAAGAGACATGTTAGACATGAACGGACAAGAAGGACTTCATAACAGGTATGATGAGAGGCCAGTATTTAAAATTAAAAAAAAAAATGCAGAACGGTCGAAATAATACCAGAACCTTAGATAAATAAGTATACAACCACCGAAATATTTTACAAGAGAAGGTAACAGGAGATGCAACACTGGATTTTTTATTATATTTTCTTTTTCACAAAAGAAATAAATAGATAAGCACTAATAGGTAAGCAAAATAGGTACTCACTGACACATACACGCAAGCACTCCAGCATTCACAGACAGACAATCTCCCACACACACACAGACACACACACACACACATACACACACACACACACACACACACACACACACACACCACACACACACACACACACACACACACACACACACACACACACACACACACACACACACACACGAGACGAGGAAAGGTTAAGGGAAATCGGACTGACGACACTGGAGGACAGAAGGGTCATGGGAGACATGATAACGACATACAAGATACTGCGGGGAATAGACAAGGTGGACAGAGATAGGATGTTCCAGAGAGGGGACACAGGGCCAAGGGGTCACAACTGGAAGCTGAAGACTCAGACGAGTCACAGGAACGTTAGGAAGTATTTCTTCAGTCATAGAGTTGTCAGCAAGTGGAATAGCCTAGCAAGTGAAGTAGTGGAGGCAGGAACCATACATAGTTTTAAGAAGAGGTATGACAAAGCTCAGGAAGCAGAGAGAGAGAGGATCCAGTAGCGATCAGTGAAGAGGCGGGGCCAGGAGCTGAGTCTCGACCCCTGCAACCACAATTAGGTGAGTACAATTAGGTGAGTACACACCACCACACACACACACACACACACACAACCACACACACACACACACACAGACACACACACACGCACACACACACACAGACACACACACACAGACACACAACACACAGACACACACACCACACACACACACACACACACACACACACACACACACACACACAAAACACACACACACACACACACACACACCACACACACACACAACCACCAACACACACACACAAACAGACACACCACCACACACACACACACACACACCACACACACACACACACACACACACACACACACACACAACACACACACACACACACACACACACACAACACACACACACACACACACACACACACACACACACACAACACACACACACACACCACACACACACACACACACACACACAACACACAACACACAACACACACACACACACACCACACACACACACACACACACACCACACACACACACACACACACACACACACACACACACACACACACACAACCACACACACACACACACACACACACACACACACACACACACACACACACCACACACACACACACACACACAACACACACACACACACACACAACCACACACACACACACCACACACACCACACACAACACACACACACACACACACACACATGCACACAACACACACACACACCACACACACACACACACACATCACACACACACACACACACACACACACACACACACACACACACACACACACACACACACCACACACACACACACATGCAACACACACACACACACACACACACACACACACACACACCACACACACACACACACACACACACACACACACACACACACACACACACAACACACACACACACACACACACAACACAACCAACACACACCACACATGCACACACACCCACCACACACCACACACACACACACCACACACACCACAAACACACACACACACACACACACACACACACACACACACCACACACACCACACACACACACACACACACACACACCACACACACACACACACACACAACACAACACACCACAACAACACCACCACACACACACCACACACCCCACAACACACACACACCAACACACACACACTGGACAATGCTCTCTTAAACTCCATCACCTTCAACTATTATGAAACCACTGCACAAAGAAATTTTTTCAGTGTTATGCACATTTGTTATCGTTGCTGTTGAATTTTTTTTTTCTGTAAAGGATAATGTGGCAGGTCCTCCTGGGAAATGAAATGATATTACACAGAATACCACTAACCCCCAAAAATTGTGTAATCGCACTATGGACCTTCCATATTAATTCCATGCTAGAGTGAACTATATGAATATGTGTGATGCGTCATTATTACATTCTTGGGGGTGAGTGGTAAACCTGTAGGGGTCATATATTGCGTGGAGGGAAAGAGTGGGAGGTACTCAGGCTGGATCCAAGGAAAGGGAGGATAAGCTCTGTTGCGTGGATCAAGAGCCCTCACCGCTATCTAAGGACTTCCCTCAGAGGAGCGACGTGGAAGATGTGGAAGATAAAAAAAAAATAATAACGATAAACTCTACGGTCTCAGCTACCCACATTTCACTATCATTTGCAACAGTTTTATGCAGCGTTGATTCTAGGAGAAAGCTGATGGAACGAATATTTTTTTTTTAAATAAATATAAAAGCCTTTACTTTATCCATTGTGTTTATAAAAATTTTCTTTTCGAATCTAAAGAAATGATCTGTAATAGCATACAGCTGAAGATCCTGGGAAAATTTCTGATAAAACAGCGGTAAGAATGATAACACGTTTCCACCAAATCCTGACCTGATACATAGATCATGATTTGCGAAACACTGCTCCTTGACCTGCAAAAACCTTAGGGTTTAGTTCTTTCCCAAGAATATTATAATAACATCAATAATAAAATTATCATTATTGTTAATATTCGCATATTCTTCGGGTTTTGCTAACCACTAAGAGTTGTACTGGTTCTATCCCGAACAATTGTGGTAGACAGATCATACAAATCCATTACAATTTCTACTGTCCATCTACTGACTCA